TAGCGACATCTAGTTTGATTTCGGGAACTTATGTTTTATTTCTAATACTTACTCATTTCCCACAGACAAAGATTATATATATAGTTCCCTCGCTCATTGAACAAGGCCTACTGGGTCGGCGAAAAAAGACAAGAACCGTGAGGATGTTTTTTTGTTTTCAAGTTGCCTCACTTTCAGCATGAATTGAAAGGAAATTTAACAAGAAAAATATTATATTATGGCAAAACAGAACAACATACCGATTACCAATATGAAGATATGTATTTTATTAGGTAAGATGACGTACATTGGCGGGCATTATCGCTCGGTCATTTAAGAAAATTTTTGTTTGAGCATGTTTAAACGTTAAGCTGAAGCTAAAATACTGCAATACAAATGAATGCATCGGCAGTGGAGCCTCTGTCTGGCAAGTCAGATGGAATAGCTACTCAAGAGATTGTGGATGAAAAATCCCGAAGTGAGGGAGCAAGTAGTGCTACGATTACAGATGCTGATCAGGATAAATCTGTTATTGATGTACAACAAATACATGTACTAGATGATGTTGATACTGTTGTCCCGAATATAGCGGATCCAGCTATTTGGCCACTTATTCGCAATAGCAAAATAATTGATCATATAATAAGAAGTGGCCCACTGCAAACTCACTGTCACAAAGTTACAACAATTACACAAAGTTATACATAACAATTATGTGACACCCTGTTAGGGTGTTACAAGGGTAAAGAGTCTGGACCCAATTTCAATAATTAACCTGTTATTTTAACATCTTATATACTTTAAGTATTAGGGAATGTGTAGTATAGATAGCAAAAATTAATCTGTACTTACCTAATGATGTGATCCGTCAAAATGAAACAGCTACTTATACACTATTAAATATCTATTTTTTAATAAAACTAATTTCACTCTATAGTTGGAACAAGAGCATCGTAACGTAGCGTTAAACGTTTGATTACTGTGTTTGTTTGTTTTATAATAATCGAATAATTGTTTTAAGAGCGTCCACTTATGTCAAGCATGAATGATTGTTGATGTTGAGCAGAACACCTGCTTCGTCAAGAATTAAAAGACATAGATCTCGGGAATCCCCGATTATAGAAAAACACATTGTTTCTGTATTGTCAGAAAGTCGGGAATTCCCGAGAAATTAAACCGATTGAACACTAAGTTCCATTCTAATGCTGCCAACTTAACAATGTACCTAAATTTAGGGAAAAATACAAGTAAGTAGTCCGGGTCGGCGAAAAAAGACAAGTAACTGATTTGTAGTATGTAGTAGTAATTGAATTGCTATTTGGGGGCGCCGAAGAAATTTCGCCCAGGGCGCTAGTAGTGCTAAAACCGGCACTGATGTTAGTAATATAAGTAATAATAAAGGTTAAAGGTAGGCTGAAAAAGAAAAAACTTCGGGTTAGTCGAATCATACAAAACCGAAAAGGGCGGAGGGGGCGGTCTGCCACGGGCCTCCGGCCCTAGGTGGCCTCTAAATGACTGCAAACATTCGCCAAAATTATAATAACATTATAAATTTTAAAATGTATGCTGGGGGTGTAAAACCAATATCAAGATTATGCCTCGCTTGAATGCCTTCGATGAGGCTAGTCCGCCACTGCCTACTGATCCAATTTTTAGTAGCGAAATAAAAAAGATTTGAAATATTTAATTAGAATATTTACGGCCAGTTATTGAGAAAAGTACAAAATCAATAACTTAATTTTTTTACATTTTACAAGGCAAAAAGTCCTAGTGACATTTAAATTGTACCTATATAAGTACAGTTTGAGACGTAATCAAATTCAAATTCTCAATTCAGAAACCGTGTTAGTAAATTATTTAATTTTCATTATGTTATTGTTCAATAAAGTTCTCGAGGCCGTTGATTGGAGTTTTTATTGTTTTGTGTGATAAAATTTAAATCCAGTCAAATAATTTTAAAATAATAGTAAAATTTAAATTAACTGTGAGTGAAACAATAGAGTCATCACGTATCGTCTCGCATGTACATTAAACGACTTCCAGCCTTCTGAACAAGCCGGTTTCCGAAAAGGTTACAGTACCATAGACCGCATTCATACAGGTTATACAGAAGACCGATGAGTATAATCTGCCACTGTGCTTGGCGTTTGTGGACTATGAGAAAGCCTTTGACTCCGTCGAGACCTGAACCGCGCTTAGGTCACTCCAGAGGTCCCAAATAGACTATCGATACATCCAAGTGCTGTAGTCACTGTACGAAAACGCCACCACGTCAGTTCGGCTCCAGGAGCAAAACTCGAAAGCAATACGACTTCAGCGTGGAGTAAGACAGGGCGACGTTATATCGCCGAAACTGTTTACTGCCGCACTGGAGGTCGTGTTTAAGCTTTTGGACTGGAGAGGACTTGGCACCAATATAAACGGCGAGTACATGACGCATCTTCGTTTTGCTGATGATATCGTAGTCATGGCTGAGACCATGGAAGATCTAGGCACAATGCTCGAAGACCTCTGTAGTTTCCCAGCAAGTGGGTCTTAAAATGAACACGGAGAAGTCAAATATAATGTCAAACTCCCATGTCGTACCCACTCCAGTGAATGTTGGAGGCTCTACACTGGAAGCTGTCGACGTTTAGTACGTTCATCTGAGACAAATAGTCCGATTAGGTAAGTCCAACTTCCAGAGAGAGGTAAATCGACGGATCCAACTCGGCTGGGCAGCGTTCGGGAAGCTACGCAGTGTAAAGTCTTCAATTCGTGCGTGTTGCCAGTGATGACATACGGAACTGAGACGTGGTCGCGTACGGTGGGCCTCATAAGGAAGGTCAAGGTAAGATATTTTTTTTATTTTATTAGATAGTTTATGATCCCAAGGCCTTAAAAGCAATTTAATTATTCAAGAAATTGCTATTGAATTCGGGCGGTTATCATTTTAATAATCTACAGAAAACTTCCGCCCAATATTCACATTCGCTTTAAATATAAATATTATTGCTCATTTTTTAAAGTTTGAAAACGGTTATATTTTTTGGTAAAAATAATTAGTAACACTTGGGAGTATTTCACTTTTATGTCCATGTTGTAACATTCTTCAATTGATTCTGAACTCTACCTTGAACGTTTTAAGGTTCTTTTTATACTTATTTGAGTTTTTGTGGTCGCGTCGCTACACTTGTTGCATCGGCAAGAATATGTAGGAGCACAATACAACATTGTATATTTCGCTTAATTTGTATTTTAGATTGTAATGTAGCAATAAGTGTTCGGTACCCACAATTCCGTGTAACTCTGCGATAAGTTTCCGCGGAACCTAGGTGTAGGATTTCAGTCATCGTGTAACATTTTTCGTGCTTAGGGTTTACAGTCTAATATTGAGCTTCTTTTCATAATATTAGAATGCCTCGTTGTAGACTTTATTGGTAACCAAAAATACTTACTCAGATGTTTATAGGCCAAACAGACTTACACCAAGAAGTCTCATAAAGGAATGAGAAGGCGAGAAACAGCACATTTACGAATCTCGGGTGTTCTCGGGGCTTCTCGGCGTTGTGAATTTGTCCGGCCTATTAAAGCCAAACCATAAATCTATCGGAGGTAGGTAGGTGTTTCTAGTTTTTGGTTCTATTCACTTCTCGTTAATCGTCGACGTTCGGGTTGCCCTTTTTGACTAAAATTGCGATCATTTTACATAAAGAGGTACCTATCCACTAAAGTGAAGGGAAGTGATGAAACAGCCCCAATCGTAAAATGTACGTTCACTTATCAACGGATCTGTTATCTGTATCCATTTCTCTCTAAGCACCTACACTCGAGTCGAGATCGTAAACTGTTTTATTTTTAAGTGTAAATAGTAAATGGATGTGCATTAAAACCCTATGGGAAAATGAGTAACATACCGAAATAAAAATAATAGCTCCTTTGTATCAAAAATTAGAAAGGCATCTTTAAATTATAAACTACGAATAATTGTATAATTTTCGTAGTCTGCATAAGACTAATATCTAATTTATTCATCTCTATCTCTATTATGTTCCAATAGCTGGGTATCATCAAGGAGTATTCTATATTATAGTTATTCTAGAGATGGACAGTGGTTAGGGCTTTTGGATTGGTCAAAATTAAGATGGCCGATTAAAAATTTACTATCTCGGGCTCCTCCGGTCCCGGTATCTGCAGTCGTTAATACCCTACAAACCGCCACGGGGATATATATCTTAAAAAATATGGAAGCAATTTTTTTCTTTTACTAATAAAAACTTCATAGAAAACAATATATAATATATACGCCGTAATACACGATGTTTTTAGCAAGCAGACATAATCAGGTTAAATGTGAGCCGACCTCACACTATGGGTCATTTAAATAATCCAAACATATAATGATGCTATCTCTGCAGTTAGACTGGGCAAGTGGAACAACCAATAGACAATTTTTCTGTAGGACTTGTTTTTTCTTATTGTTTCAGTGCAGGAAAAAGTATATGCCAATAGAACATACTATAGGGATGACGATTAATTTTTGTTTGTTTGTCCGTCAGATAGATTGATGAAAAATACTAAACAAGTATTTTATGATTTTTTTCATAGAGGTGCTTTTTAGTGCTTTCTTTTTTTTAAATACTTCCTCATTAAGGCTGTTGCGCGTGGTGGTACATCGACAGAGTATCACACCGTACTAATGGTTATTTTCAAATTAGGTATATGCTATTAAGAATTAATACATAAAAACTTTTTTGAAAATTTATATATCCCAAAAAAATATAGCTATTTTCATCAACAACTCAATTAGTCTTAAATAAAAGTTTATAATAAAGTTATACATAATATTTATATCATATAATATTTATATCATAAATTTACATTTGTTCTTCTGTGCCTGAATGATGTTTACATAATAAACCTGAATCTCTGGCTCTCTCCCACATTAGTTTAGTTAAATAAGTGTGTAGATTCTGTGAATTCAAAATACATGTTTAACATAGATATTATTGTCAAAATTAGTTATCTAAGCCATATTTCTATAACAAAAATTAAGTCTTCACAAATTTATGAAAAATACGAAATGTAAAAGAGAAAAGAGTTTATAACAGTGAACTATTTCTATGTTTTATTTCTATCATAGCTTATCTTTTTATACGTACATAGTTTAATAGTACATAACAAAGAGTCAAATATATAAAGAATTTTTTCATAGCTTGTTGTACAATCGACAGCATATCAGATTGTTTTTGTATTGTTGCTAATTCTTAATGTTCTATTTTGGATCAATATGTGTAAATGTTATTTCTTCTTCAGATTACAGGTTTCTTTTTTTCCCCAATTAATTTTGCACTTTAAATGAAATGAGTTAAAGTTGTAAATCAATTTGAGAAACGCAATTTTAAACAACCTGTTTCACTGTTGTTTCATCTTAAAGCCACGAGCCCGTGACATCTAGGTGACAGGACAGGATCAAATAACTTAACCAAATACACATTCTTAAAACCGTTCTCAAATAAATACAATAATCTGTCCAACAGTATAACACTCTCTACAACTTGCGCTAAACAAAGTCTTAGTAAATAAAATAATACAATTCTCTTCCATTGCACATCGATATCATTACACAAATCATGTAAATATTCACTCGGAAGTCTATCAAAGAGTTCCAAATTCAAAATGGCGTCGGCCATTTTGAAATATTGCTCGAAAGTTTGACATTTGGCGGTGATGCGTTTTAATTTGCCATCAGCGAGTGGGAAATCTGGCGAGTGTTTTTTAATTATAACCTGTGAATAAAATACAACATTCATAGAGTAATTTGTAGAGGTTAACTGTTATGTGATTATGTCACTAGAGAATTTGTTAATAGCTTAAAATAGTCGTTGATATCCAGTAAATTAATAAAATGAATAAAAGGACATCAAATTAATAGTCGCATTTTTGTTAGTAAACATTATTTAGAAAAGGCTAAAGAACGTTGATTAAAAATATTAATTAATAATATTAATATTACCAACAACATAAACCTGACATGTCTATTCTATTTATCTTTGAACGAAAATTCGAAAAATATTGAATCCGTTCTTATAAGAACAGATTATCTTCCAAATCATATTTGTGAAGATGATCCAAATCATATCCGTGAAGATGATCTGTGCATCAGAAGCAGTGTCAGTCAGTCCTATCTTCGTCACAACATGAATTCTAGAAAATCTAAATATTCCTTTTCGGTTTAATTAGTTTTTAAACTCTTCAGTTTTATTATGTATAAGATGATAGGATAATGAAAACCACACTTACCTGAAGTAAAGCCCTGTAAAGTAAGCTTCTCGATGGTATCTGCTTTGAATGAACAACTCTGTCAAATGACTGTGCTGCCAACATACGAGCATTACGACCTAAATTGAAACCTGCAAATGAAATTAACTTCTATACATACTATCTCCCCGCTGATATCTTTTAAACTACATTTTTAATGCTGTTTACATAGTGGCGGATTAAGGGGGGCGATGGGGGAGGTCAGCCGCTTGTTCTGGGGGGCCTCCAAATGGCTGCAAGTTCCCTTGGTCAAATCATAAATTTGCGTTTTACTGTCTTATCTTTCTTATGTCCATTTTCTTAGTTTTAGCAGGCGTCTTAGCAGGGGGAGGGGTGTAAAAGCAATATCAAGTTTCTGTCCCGGTTGCAACAAGTTGTATATCCGAACCTGATGCCACCACGGGCCGCCGACGAGGTTAGTCCGCAACTGCGTTTACATCAATATACAGTGATTTAAGACGACGGTTTATATTTTTAATAAATACATCTCGTATTATTACCCCTGTACCTGAGTAGTGCTGTGTCCTGTACTAGAGTAGCTCGATGGCATAATGGATAAGCGCCGGCCCGCGATCGTTGTTAAGCAACTTTCGCAAAGGTCGGTCACGGGATGGGTGACCAAAAAAATATTACCTCGAGCTACTCCGTGTTTTGAAAAGCACGTTAAGCCGTTAGTCCCGTCGTTAATACTCTCCAATCCGCATCGGGCCTGGTGCAGGGTCATGGCCCATCGTCCTTAACCATCCATAAGGAAGGCTCGAACTCCTGCAGTGGGTACGTAACAGGGCTGATGTTGATGTATTATTACTCGCGGACGAAGCTTTCACGCAAAAACTAACAGGTTTGATGAAATTTGGTATACAGATAATTCTAACCCTGAATTAAATTTAGACCACTTTTTATACCACTACATCGTACCTAAGGAAAAATATAATGTCAAGTCATCGTGTAAAACAGGATGATGTGTATTTTTCATTTAAATAAAAAGCTTAAGTACCTCTCAAATATTCTGACATTGGAAATCCTTGGCTCGTCTCCTGGCAAGATCCATAATCCTTCTGAAAGACATCGAATAACTCTGCATCCACTTCCTCAGTGAGCAAGTGGTAACAGCAGGGTACATTGAAAACGGACGCTATTGTTGATTGGGAGGTGAAGATACGAAGGCTGTCGGGGCCGAGATTACCACAAGTATGCAGACCTGTGTGCGATGAGGTAGAGATTACTGCTTTTATGAAACCGTACTTCTGACTGATTACTTCTTAAATGTTATTAAACCAGTATCAGATTTATTTTACTCCAGAAAATTTTAGTATAAAAATAACAAATTTTTTTTCATTAATTTAATTTATCTCGCGAAAACAATCAGTCACGTGACATTTAGAGCTGTGACGTCACATTGCAATAAACATGAGTACTGGTTGCACTCGCAATATAGACATTCTGTTATACGATGCTCAGTAATGGCCGCCCGATTATAAATCGTAAGTTAATTTTGCCAAAAACAAATATACTTACAATTTATTTTATAACAAAAAAATTTACATAGTTATTTAAATTTAACATATTTTTAAATTTATTGTTATAAATATTAATTAGCTAATGAGGAAGTATTTAAAAAAAAATTGTTCCCGAAATCAAACTAGATGTTACGGTACGTTCTTGATTTCTCCGTGATAACCCTTCCGGTTTTCTTTCATGTTTAAAAGTAAATTAGTTTTCAAAACTCAATAAACAATTCATATTTTATTTGTACTTTTTCGTATTTGTATCGATATCTAAGTTTTGAACTTAGCAAATTTTAGTTTTTTAATATTTATTAATATTTAGTCATTTCCATTCCTTTTAACTAATATTAAATTAAATATTAGTTAAAAGGAATGGAAATGACTGTCTTTGGTCCATTTGTTTCCTGCAAAAATCAACTTTTGCTAGAGTCGCCATCTAGTGGAGGTGCTCTTTTAGTGCTTTCTTTTTTTTTAATACTTCTTCATTATCATAGAATTATCCATATATTGGCGATTTTGCTGATGTCTTTAACTAGTTTATACTAATATTATAAAGAGGAAAGATTTGATTGTTTGTTCCGAAACTATTACCTATTATAAAATCAAGTTTTACCTGTCAATAATAACTTGATGTTTTTATTGGAATGTTCGGGAAACTTATCTCTAACTATAGCTGCTAAGTCTGTGTGCCTCGTCATGTAAGCGCTTGCGAAACGATGTAGATCTTTATTTATCCCACGAGATACCTGTTCTTCATTTCCACTATGAATTTTCTTAGCTATTGCATGCCATTGTTTCTGGAACATATAATAATTTGTAGTGTCAAATAAATAGGTATAGCACGAGCGCCGAACAGGGAGAATTGCATACGTTGAACTTTGTGCCTGCTGTGAGATATCGTATATATTTTAGTTTCACTTTACTATGACCAAATTGGCTTGATGCATCTGTGCGAGCGCAATGGCAATAAGTTTGCGCATGAGTGAATGAGATATGTAGTGCCGGGTCTTTGTAGTAGATTTTAAACATCACTGTATCTATATGCGTATTGATGGCGTATTTACACTAGTCGATAGCATACTTCTGTTTCTGTTAGTAGCTCTTATTGGCCAGTTGTTGTTTCATTGATTAATGAGAAGATCGCCCACAATCCGTGTGTGTAACGACCAGTTTAACTGAGCCTTAACCGTTAGTAAGAATTTCTGCACGTTGCACAGACGTCCATTATACTTGTCATTAGTTAAAAGTGACATTGCCAATACGAATTTTGAATATAAGAACATTAATTAGAGCTTAATGTCGTAATTAAAGTTTAATGGACGTCTGTGCAACTGGGTGGTGTACTAATAATAATAAGCCTTCATTTAGGCTTTTTATTATTAATGGGCGGTGTTACAAATAAATAAAACAATTGACACTGAACTCGTAAAATCGCGTTAAACCCTTCTGGACAAAATTTTAGCATAAACTGATGTGGTAAAAGTAAAACTGCAAATATATATTATATGATACGGAGCCACATTTAAAAAAAGGTACTCTGCTGTGATTGTACTTTGATTCAATATTCTTTTAGTGAGTAAAGGGTTTGAAAATTTAATTGTAGGTAGATGTCGACATTCACAACTTATGATTTTTCTCTACCTGAATTATTTTTATTCTTTGTGCAGCAGAGTTTATTGTTTTCTCATCGCAGTCTATAGTCAGGCTGGGCACACCATACCCCAAAGTTAATGCAACAGGAAGATGGCCACGGCCTCCTCCAGCTTCAACACAACATGTTGTTGAGCATACACTATGGAGTGATGCTACTAGACTTGACATTCTCTGTACCTAAAATAAATTATAACTATACATATCTCATTTTCCGCGCTACAATTTAGTAGCTGGTTGTTTTAGATAATAATATAGAAATTAATCATTACCAGCCCTTTTACGTCCCCACTGCAGGGGCTCAGGCCTTCCTTATGGCTGGTTTAGGAGGGTGGCCATGACTCTCCACGCTGGCCCAATGCGGATTGGAGAGTATTAATGATTGTAAATGCAGCCGGGACCAACGGCTTAACGTGTCTTCCGAAGCACGGAGTAGTTCGAGATAATAATTTTTTGGTCACCCATCCCGTGACCGACCCTTGCGAAAGTTGCTTAACGACTACGATCGCGGGCCGCGGCGCTTATCCACTACGCCACCGAGCTACGCTAGAAATTAATGTTATTCTTAATGAAAAATGCTTAAAATTCCACTTTGTGTAAGTGGATTTTTGAATGTTTTTTAATAAATTTTTTTCAGTATAGCATTGTGAATGCAAAATTTATCAAATATAATAAGTACAAGTTGATTATTTATTTTATATTTATCGATCTCTAAAGATGTGCAGCTACAATTGTAAAACACAATAACAGGATATAAATAAAATATATAATAAAATCTTTATCGCATAAATCTCTGTATGGAATGAATGATATGTAACCCTGCTCAAAGTATAAAGATAGATAATAGAAAGGATATATTACGACACCACAAAATCTGTTTACAATCAGTAGTGCTTATTATACAGACCTCGTAACTTTTCTTGCTGTTCATAAATTCTTTAACTTTAATTTCTGACTTAATATCACCACCCCAACTCTTGATGTGGTTTTGTAATTGCTCTTTAGATATACAATATTCATTATTAAGGGATATACAGTTAGATCTTGATTTTTCTATCCATTTCCCAAGTTCACAGTTAGCTACAAAGATAAATTTAATAATTTACTCTGACATTGACATTACCAGAAAAACAAAGTTGAGCTTTATAATAGAAACAGATATATAATATTAAGACCTTTTTTTCTTTATATTATATAGTTGAATACTTAAATTACTGTGTATTATTTTCATGTATATTCAAAATAGATTCGGGATTATTAAAAACCATTTTAGACTTACTTTATGTATAAGGATTTAGGTACCTATTATTATTAAAAACTGTTTAAGATTTACTCACACTCAAGTTTGCATGATTCAGCTAAGTCCCAAAACTTATTAACAGCATCATTCAATCCACAATTATCAAGTGTAGTACTTAGCTTACTAGGAATTAGTGTGTCCCAGTGATTTTGAGTGAAAAATTCTACCATGTGACAATTGGCTAGTGGCAATAATGGGTTTAGGTATGAAATTATGGTGTCAAGGTGTTTTTGAATTTTAAATATTGTCAAATCCTTTGCCATTTTAAACAGCCCTGAAAAAATTCCACATTCTCTTTTATCCAATTTAATTTTTGAAGTTTACAGCTACATCAGAGACATGCAAGAGGAAGAAGACACAATATAAAGCATATTTTCTTTATGTAATTATATTTTCTAATCACAATTTTCTTTAAGATAAACAACTCAAGTACTGAGCTTGCTTTATTATTATATTATTAACATTCATCTGCCCAGTGACATGTAAAAACACTTCTATATAAATAAGTCTATTAACTTAGCAGTTTTGTTGTAAATAAAATCTATTAATAAGTTAAAATATCTTTAATTCACTATATAAAGTATGGCATTGTTTGATTTGAGTAGCTTGGTGGCATGGTGAATAAGCACCTCTGCCAGCGTTCATTGTTGGTAAGCAGCTTTTGCAAGGATCGGTCACGGGATGATTATTATCTTGAGCTACTCTGTGCTTCGTAAGGCATGTTGAGCTATTGATCCTGGCTGCCTACGAAGTTGTTAATACTGTCCAATCCACATAAGGGCAATGTGGAGATCGTCCTTAACTATCCATCAATAAGGCCTAAGCCTGCAGGGACTGCAATGGGGATGTAAAAGGGCTGTTGATAATGATTGTTTGATTTCTATATTGTTCCACTGAACACTTACTTACCTCACAGCTCAGAATGAAATGTCAGAGTCAAATGGATTGTTAGCTGGTATTTTCAATAGAGCACATGCTTTTTTATATTGGGCGCGTATTGCTTCCACCAAATTCAAAATATCATGATCTTCAGAATTATTACGAGGAAAAGAGTCAACCAAGGTTTTAACTTTTATAAGCTGATTCAATATTTTGACAGAATATTTTGTATCTTGCTTTTCATTAGCTTCAAGGTACTTTGTAACTGTTCCCAAATAATAACCTGTATTCAAAGAACAGACATATATGCAAGTATTGATAAGTGATCAAATTTTGCAAATATCAACTTATAAACCAAAATAAATATAAAATTGGATTATGAAATTATATAATAGGGGCCAACCTTATATTGCCAAATTTCTAGGACTCAGCAATATGTTTGAAAAGAGTATAAAGTGGACGAGGCAAAAGATGTATGTAAGGACTTCTCTGCCTATGTGAAGATATAAACAGATTCTCCATTTGAACATGAAGTTACTTATTTATATATTTCTGGGAAATAAAATAATCAAAATACCAAGTTCACGGCCTAGTTCAGCTCCTCTATGATAGCCAAGGTGATATCCTTCAGGATTACCAGCCAAAGTGCCGGATTTGTATCCTTCCTCATAACTTTCTTTATAAGCTGTTTCTTCAGTCATAAATATGTCCTCAAGTACATCGTTAAAGTCTTTATCTGCTGCCATTTACCAGGTAATGATTACTGAAAATATAAATAATTATAATGTAATAATTAAATATCCTAAATAAAATTGTTAATTATTTCTATGAGACTAGGAAATGTGATAGAATCTTCATACTATATTTATACGTAGTTTGGATTCTTCTGTTGTAAAAATTACTTTTAATAGACAGAAACAATTGATTTCGCTCCAGTTGCTACTAATACAAAATTTATTCCAATTAATTATCCTGTGATAATGCTTGTAATTCAATTGTAAATACAAAATATGACTTTAATATAACCTAAAAACAACAACAAAAAAGAAAAACTTCAATACAGTAGGGATTTTGATCTTAATTTGGTTTTTTCGAAAATCGATTCCTTTAAATCGATTTTTAAATTTTGGGACTGATTTTTTGCCGCCACCTTGATCAGTCCGAAGAATGACGCAAACAAAACAAACAGCAATAAAAAAATTAAAGGCCTGGCTACCAAGTATACGTCTTTAATTTTCTTTCACGTATTAAAGTAAATAAATTTTCAAAACTCAAAAAACAATTCGTACTCTATTTGTACTTTTTCGTATTTGTATTGATATTTAAGTTTCGAACTTTGCAAATTGCAGTTTTCTAATATGTTAGTTAAAAGGAATGGAAATGACTATCTTTGGTCCATTCGATTCCTGCAAAAATCGTCATCTAGAGAATTTTTTTAAGCTTTCTTTTTTTTCTTAAAACACTTCCTTATTTAAAGCGATACATGATATCGACTTTTCTACCACAAATCAAATAGGGCTTTTGACGCTTTTCTGAAAACTATTTTAAATGGTTGTTTGATACACTATAAATACACTGTCAATATATTTCATTAGAATCTGTTCTATTTTTGATGAAAATAATTGTTAAAATTTAAATAGTCAAAATCGCGCAATAAACGCTGCTCTATGTAGTGGCGCTGATCACGTGGTATTTGTGACGTCATATGCCAGTAAATATGTCAAGGCGACGTAACCTTTTTATCAACTATTTATTTACGAAGTAAACAAATAGTTATTTATTATCAACTATTTATTTAGGAAGTAAACAAATTATTTAGGAAGTAAACGAATAGAAATTTAGGTTAAATTTTATGTTTTGTAATTGTATAATACAAATTTTGCGTGTCTTTAATAACACTGTTTTGACATGACTGCTTCCGGTTTACATATGACGTCACAAGCCGGTAAACAGGACTTGTTATTGGTTGCGACGATTACCAATTACAGGCCGTTATCGTCGTTCATTAAAATTCCTAAAAATGTTGCATTTTCTTTATGTTATTTTACTAAAGTTAAACATATTTTATCTGCTATTCTAAGAAATAAACTTTATTAGATTATTATCTAACAGGATGCCCATAATCGCAACTTATTTTTAATAGTGTCTAATACCCTATTGTATCACAAAATAATGAGACAATTCAAGACAACAACCCATTAGAAAATTCAAACAGAAAATAGAACGTAGCGTTGTAAGAAAGGACATAATAAAATAACTTACTAGAAAGTCATTTGATAAAAAGATACGATATTTTTAAATTAAAGTAATGTATAATAAACTTGCTTTTTATTTTTTAATGCTAATTAAAAAAAAAAACTTATTTATTACGACAAATTCTAAAGGCAATCACATTCTTGATCCTTTTTCCTTAAAGAAAAATAGTGTCGTAAACAGATTAATAGGCCATTTCCTTATTTTGTACGCTTTTAATACGAATCGATAGTTTACTCATTTAATTACAATCTTTTATTTATTATTTATCTTCATGAACAAGTAAACCATAATCACTAATAAATACTTAATTTGTTACTTTTTCTGACCAAAAAACAAATGAATCAACGCTCACGCATTCGACTGCATTTTTTAGAGATATATTTTTTTATTTGCTTTCGTGATTAAGGCCGTTTACGGTACAGGGAAATAGTAATTGGACAATAGGTTATCGAAAAAATTAGATATTTTGTCGCATCAAATGGTATGCTTGACTTGTTGCTTATGACTCGAGTGATACACGAAAAAGGTGGAAATGTAGTAACATTATTTATTTTTTATTTATAACACCTATGATTTAATTTATTTATAGTATACGAAAGTCCTTTGCCGCTGTCTGTCTAATCTTTTTAATGCAGTTTTTATTAAATTAAATATAATAAACAAAATCACGCTGTCAAAGGTGTTGGTGGAAAGTTTGTCTAACTATATTTCATTCGCAAATAAAATATATTCTATTCTTTTCACTTTAAACATGAAAAATTTGCGCTCATAAAAAAAAGAATGTGTTGTAAATAAAAAATGGAAAACAAAATGTTCAATACTGATACATAAAATTTTAGGTAAAAAAATAAATTTATTAAAAATATCGATAGTTTTAACATCCTTAGCTGTCTGTCTGTGGCTGTCTGTCTGTATGACAAGTACGATTTATGGTATGATTGATCAATTGTCATTCAAAGAAGAGTGAGGAAGTGGTTTTTTTTGCCTTTTTTAGGAATTACGAAATTTAAAATTATTATAATTTAATATTTTACAATCATGTCAGCAGAAATTAGTTTGAATGAAATCAAGAAGCACAAAAATAAAAAGAGTACGTGGATGGTTATTCATAATCAAGTATATGATGTTACAACATTTCTGGAAGAGGTAATACTGTTTAATTTGTAAAGATATTTGATAAAAGATCTGTGATTCCTCTCTACATTTTTAACTTCATCAATCATTTGTAAAATATTCAAAATTATATAAAAAGATATATATTTGTACTGATATGGAACTTAAATGAAAACACATTTTTAAATGTCTATACTTTGATTTTCAGCATCCAGGTGGAGAAGATGCACTGTTAGAATATGCAGGTAAAGATGGGACTCAAGCATTTGAAGATGTAGGACACAGTGAAGATGCCAGGTTTGCATTACTATTTTAAATTTATTTAACATCATTTGATAAAAGCTCTGCAAATTGCCAATGCGCTGGAACCTTCTCTAAATAAGACCCTCATGACGTCATTTGAAAATACAAAATGCAAGGGATAAATTATTTATTGAAATGTTTATGAATAACAACCAAAATATTGTTTAAGTATTTAATAACTTTGATTTTGTTAATTTATTGCAAGAATTTTCGAAAAAGGTCAATTGATTGTTAATTTTGTGGTATACATAAAATAACATTTATTTTGTAATAACAAAAGTAAAGGACGGTTGTTTAATACATCACTAAAAGTAATTATATAATGAAAGACATTAGATTTAGTTTAATATAACTTTAACTTAAAATAAAATATATAACTAAGTTTAGTTTAAAGAGGAAAATCACACAAGATTTAGAATAACTATTTCTTGCTACAATGGGATCAATTAAAGTTGCATTGTCCTGAAATGTTATGTATAGTTTTTAAGCTGCATTCTAGATATTCAAATAGGGTCCTGAGTTTGTAAGGCATCTTGAAAAGGTAATATATTTTAAAGTTCATGTAGACAGGTACATTTTTTTGGAAGTAGGGATAGGATAGAATGATCACTAAGCCACTGAACCCTTAGAAATTTAGCACTATCTATCTATGTTTTAAAATAGTTTATCAATATCGCATTATCAATGCTATACTGAATAATATTCTTAATAATTTTTTAAGCATTTTTCATTAAGAATAGTTGTTCAATTGTTCCACATATAAGATTTTTTTTTTTAATTTTCAGAGAAGTAATGAAAAAGTTTAAGATTGGTTCACTACCACAAGCTGAGAAAGTAAATGATGTAGCAAAAAATTGGTAAGTATCTTATTGATAAAATAGCCTTAGGAAGATTTCAGTGACCTTAATATTGGTTGGTAATGTTGATAGAGTAATACTGACCAATAGCTTAATTGATTGTGAAGCTAGATCAGGGTTCCCCAACCTGTGGCCTGTGACCTCCTGAGGGTCTGCAGACTACTTAATATATTTATTTTTAGTCTTAAGTTTTTAAAATTTAGGACCATTTTTGTAATGTATAACACAAAAGTGATTTGATTTTCTATTTAATTGTGCTTCATTTCCTTAAGGGTTTTCTAATCAAAAATTGAATGCTAGATAGATACAACTTCATATGTGTACTTGAATCCTAAATATTTAAATGTTTATACAATGTATACTTTAAAAAATAATTAACATTGCAAATTATATCTTTACAGTTGTAAAAAGTGCCTATCTTCTAAACATTTCAGGTTAATGTTTTTTGTTTTTATATATTATGAATATGCAATTTGTTGATATGAACGAATACTGTAATTAGTTTGCAATTATTCCTCATAATAATAGATAGATAGTAATTATGTTTATATTATTATTTTCATTCTTATGATAGAACACTATTAAAATGAAAATGAAATAGCACCTTTGAGTACCAATTCTATAAGTATTTCATTCAAACATATAGTCTATATTGTTGAAGGCTATATTTATTTAAATATTAATATAATTACTACATTAATTATGTAGCGCCAGTATATGGCGCCGCTACTATAATAGTTATATTTTATTATAGCTGTATTGTCAAATGATTTCCTGAATTTACATCGAAATAGCATAGTTGGAGTTTATTAACCTACTTTGTATTATCTACCAAGTAGTTAAATTGTGTAAATAAAGTAGAGCCACGTTATATTGTAAAAGTATATGTGCAAATAACACTAAAATAGTCTTGATATATTTGCACCAAAATGAAAGGAAAAACTGATACAGACCTTATTTTCTTTAATATTTTAATATGTCACTGTTTATTTCAGTCAAGGAAAGTCTGGATCATGTTCAAGTTGCTTACTAGGAAGGTTACAAGATTGTAATTTACTCAAAATTTATTTTTTATTTTTTTAAATGTCTTTATTTTATAGTAAACTTAATATTTGATACAGTCCACGAGCAGTTAATGAAGGAAAGACGTGGCGAACGTTTGACGGGTCGTCGGGCAGGTTATTTTCTTTTTAAAATTTGTTATATTATTCTTTTGTTGCTGCCGATAAACGCTCTTATTTCATTTTAATAGTAATAATCCACCGAAATCAAAATCGAGTTATAAAAACCCTACAAGCCCGAAGGCAGAGAGAAGAGTACCAGCTATAGTAGTTCCCCACGACAGGTTATTATACCTACATTTTAATAGGTTTATGTAAAATAGTTTTTAATCAAGTAGTTACTTGTAAAATATTTATGTTTACCATCTGATACTGTAATGTTTTGTGCTACAATTCCCAATGCTACGATAACGCACAGCAAAACGCAACTAATATGAACAGTTTTGGCGATCCGCACATCAGAGTTCTTGTTCACGTGTAAAAGGCTGATGCGGACGTGACAGAGGACGCTATGATCTATATTCTATTTGTAGGGCTGTCAAAAAAGTGATCGACCCGGAGACTTCTCTTAGGCTTACCGGGTCTCATCCCCTATGTGGGAGGTCTACCGTGAAGCTGTACGTTGAAAGTTAACGATACTATAGCTAACCATAAAACTCCGCATCGTTTCTGCGAACTACTACGTATTATTGTAGGGGACGCCTTAGGTCTCCGACCCCACCACGTGCTCGTACAACAATAAGCAGTACTTCACGGACAAGATACCTACGATACAGAGGCATATGATTGATATTCTTATTGTCATTGTTGTTTTTTTTTTCGCCTGCTACAGGAACAGACTATAGGGGTTCTCAAATTCGTTCAAGTTGGCCGCAAGGCGTTTGTGACGTTTTGTCAGTTCGTAAAACGTAGACAACGATCTATTTTTATAAGTTGAGCTTAAGAAAAACGAAATTTAACCATTTCATAATCTGTTTTCGGTGAAAATATTTCATCACAGTATTCAGAGTTTACGTGTACAAGCACTCTGCCGTGCTTGGCTAAGACGAAAATCTAGTGCGTTGTATTTAAACCTTATGATTATTAAAATAAAACTGATAATAAATTTTGACTAAACTTTTAATTATCATCGGAATTGGATGGACTGATATGGGCACACAAATATTAACGACAAAGCATATTAGTTGGATTCAGTTACAGATATTTCAACAGGTTGTATAATACAACAGTTTAAGAATGTAATTGAAAATTGTCTCTTTTTCTTTTAAGACGCGAACGCGGCTTTCCCTGTGCAAGGTCGAAAATTGTTCTTATTTAAGTATATTTCTTTTATATTTGTAGATAGAGTAAATAACATTGTAATATGTTTTAAGGAGGAGACAGCCATCACCACCAAGGTTATTGCTTTATACTCTTCATCTTGTAGCTAATATAACAGCTTTTTATGTACGCAATAGCCATAGCCACGTAATAGGCATGGTAATGGTATCTATTCAATAAATTTGTTAATTAATTTGAGCAGCGTTTTCTAACCTTTTTTGGTCCACGAACTATTATTAAAAAAAACATAGCATATGTGAATATTAACGTGTATAGGTGGATATTGGTTTTGCACATTCGCCGTGAAATGGACCTTGTGGACTCTTCTAAATATACTGCATGGACCACAGGTTGGGAAACACTGAACTATATAGCAACAGAAAAGCATTCGAATAGGAACTTTACGTGGAATTTTTAGCAACTATTTGACTCTAGTTTGCTGTTCACTTAATGCAGACATTAAGACATGTGGTAATTAATTGTTGTTGTCAAAGTCTAACTAAATCAATTTATACGAAATGAATTTTTAAAGTCAATTCTAATATATTAAACGTTTTGTTGCTATATTCGTTTCTTATTTTATAGTACTTTAGTGACTATATTGTTTTAAATTGTTTTTAAACTGGAAAACACATCTTCGAGCTAGTCTGCCTTTAAACTTAAGTCTAGCTTAAGTGTATGATAAAATTTAAGCTGTATCTTATTGTAAGTCAACCCTATTAAACTATTCTATTTACATTTTAAACGAAGTAGTAACGTCTATAGTTTAGATAGACTATTTTTTTTAAACAAAGTTTAGTTCCTATTAGTAAGTACTTAAGTAGGAACTTTTAGCATACTGTAGCTATGCTCATTAATTATTAGTTCTTTGTGAAGTATTGCCATATACATAAAGAGTCTTATAGCAAATTGATAATCATGATTATGGTTTAGTCCATATGGTCCTGTGTTTTATTTGCTATATAACTATGAATAATTAGTCTCCATGGAAGATTTCAATGTCCTGCTACTACATTTCTACCATTACTATATTCATAAAACTCATAAATAATGTGAATGAGATCAAGATTAGATCCCCCCCTAAGTCTTCCGTAGACCCCTGGGGGTCTTGGACCACTTTGAGAAACATGGGCTCGTTTATAATGATCGATGGCCTATATGCGGGGTTCTCACCAACAGTATCAATTATGAATACATGGTAAAACATAAAGTTGCTTCCCGCTGTGTGTATGCTGAGATCTTTTAAACGACACAACGGATTTTATGCGGCTTTTATTGTATACTATACAGAGTGATTCAAAAGGAAGGTTTATATGAATAATACACGACCACGCAAGCAAAGCCACTGGTGGAAAGCTAATACGTGCCGGAAAGCTAATACGTAATATATTATTGTGCATTTATTTAGACATGTTACCCCCCCCCCCCCCCTCATCACTGCCTCATAGTATGCGGTTTATTATTTATTAATATATATTTATTTTTACAGTGGCGGCGGTACTCTGAAGTGGTCATTATTGGCCCTAGCTGGAGCTATCATCATTGCTGTTGTACTGAAGAAATATATGAGTTAAATAATTCCTGTATTAGGTCGAGTCCAATAGTAGGCTAGTTATGTAAGCCAATCGATGTTGCCTTTATACTTAAACGGCTGTAGAAAATATGGCTAAACTCTTATTGTTAGCAGTTGAAAAAAGGTGAAACGAATAGTTAATGTACAAATTTTTAAAGCAGTGTAACTGTTGTTTATATTTTCATATTATTAATAGTCAAACAGGGTCACATGTCTTTATTGTTGATTTTATCAACTTAATGACATTAAGGGCCAGTTTCACTACTCGCTAATGAAGTCTCTGATAGTCTATCAGAAACTTATCTGCCAGATAAATTGTTTCACAAGTCTAACGGATAATATAAGTGACTCCTAATCAGAACGTTATATGTTAGATAACTATCCGGAACTTTATCAGCAAGTGGTGAAACAGGCCCTAAGTATTTTATTTTGATGCAGGTACCTAACGAGATGGGTAAAGTGTAATTCTAATTAATGATTAGATACCTTTTATACATTTTATATCTCAAAGAATTAGGTTGTACGATCATTAATTAACATACATTTTGCCTATTATTGGATGTTATAACTTTGTCTAAGTAATACTTAAAAGATTATTCCAACATTTCTAATGTTTTAATATCCTGGTTGAAAAAGAAACTCATGTACTTGCATGAACTGTCAAAAGCCTTATTAAATATTTTTTTACATATTTTTTGGTGCTGTGTATCTGTATATTATGTTTAATTGAAATATTATACTACAATTATATTCTGTGACAATAAATGTATGGAGAACTACTTAAATTTTGTTTCATCTAACTGTAAACTAATCTGAAATGTAATCCCTGCGTCTTTTATCTATTTTTTTCTCTTATTTTCTCTTTCTTCTATTGGTATTCTAATAAAACAAATTTCTGTCCAATAAATACTATATTATTATGACATGAACTTATTATTAGAACGTTAGTATAACATTTATCAGAAATATAACAGTCAGCATTGTGACACTGGCGAATTGAGCACAGCCGTTAGAGTAAGTCATGGCATACATTACTGCGTGGTAGACATAGTGTTGTTCATGGACGTTGTGAAATAAATGCGCATGGGGTCCTGAGGATAAAACAAAATACATTATTAAAAATAATAAAGTTCGAAATGAAATGAAATATCGAAGTTAATAATATTGTTTAAAGCTTTCATGGTCATTTACATTATAATGATAGTTTTTCGCGGGATTGTTACTAGGTATATATCTTCCTCTGGTTGAGTTACCGATATTAAGTTATTTAGTTGAGTTAGTCGTGACATAGTGAACAGTGGTACAGGTATCGAACATAAAAGGAAGGTAGATATATCTTTGGTAGGAGGTAGGAGGGCGGGAATATATTTTCCCTATGCCTTCGAAATGGATTTTGTTTTGTCACTTAAGGCATAACGCCGGCTGTCGCTTCTACTATCGATTTACAGTGCTACTTATAAACAAGGTTTAGCGTTAGAGTAAATTTACGCTAAAATTGCAATTTAGTATTAGTCCATATTCATATTACACAGAGAATAAGCAAATCTATTACCTTCTAGGAGCAAATATTACTACTATAGAATCTCGTACTAGGTTAACCTTTAATAAATATCTGTTTAATAATAAGAATTTTGACTAATACGAAGAGCAGTCTCAGCGTAAATTTACTCCAACGCTAAATCTTATTTATAAGTAGCACTGTTAAGCTGTAAAGTTTTTGAGGAAAAATATGCAATCGTTTACCTTTGGCGTATATTGTAACATCGCCGCCTCCGTGAGAGTTCTCAATGAGCTTGATGCCTGCAATTTGATTATACAGCATGTGGTCGGTGTCCTCCGTGCTGGGGTCACGTCTCCTTACTGTAGTCTCATTGTTCTCGTCTGTGTGCACGTAGAAGTGAAACGAGTCTGGCCCCCCAGTACTGTACGATAGTGTAGTGTAATTTATGCCGTCGTATGAGGAAGCTTCTGCTATCCCTGCGAACAAAATATTAGGTAAGCTACAGAGTATAACCAGTAAGCTTCTCGCGAACTCCTGGTATGTCTTAATGTCTGTCTTACCAAAAATGTTAGAGCCTCTCTTTGGGTAGCCGTTGATAGAAAGTGTGTGGGTGTGGTCGCTGGTGACAATGAATAACGTGTTCTTTTCATCAATCATCGCCAAGGCAACCTTCACTGCTTCTTCCATGGCGGCTGATTCGTCTATGGCGACCTTTGCCCATCCTCTGTGATGTGCCATGTCTATGTTGCCGCCTTCTACCTTGTGATATTAATTCAATTAGGTACAAGCATTGGCGAAACAAAGATATGTACTTAAGAAGAATTGAAAATCTGCTCACCATGAGAAAGAAGCCGTTGTCATTCTTTTGCAAGACTTTGATTGCTGCTGCCACCATTTCGGAAAGAGAGGGTATATCAGTTTGGTTTCTTTGATACTCATAGCTGAGATGGCCGTCGGCAAATATTCCTACAACAGTATAGTGTTCAAAAAATTGTATAAAAGTAATTGTTAAAAAAAATCACGACATTTTATAAAAACCTATATTTTAACATAATATTTATAAATATTATCCATATATTATTTATGTTACAAAATAAATAAAATAATACCCAAGAGGTAATCAGTATTATCTGGATCGAAGTTTCCTAGTTCAGTTTTATTTGAAACAATTCTGTATTTCAAACCGCGTTCTTTTTTGTCTTTCTCATAATCTTCTATTAAATTGCGACTGTCATTTCTAGCGCAGGCCCACGCATTCACTGCTTCGCTTGGTATGAAACCATTTCTACCACCTCCTAAGATCACCTGAAAATGATAAAATTATATAACAAAGTGATTATCTATTGCCTATACTTTAAAGTGAAAGAAAATAACGATTAGTAATATAACAATTATATGTGGATGATCTAAGTATATCTTACGAGCCCTTATTGACAACGAAATCTTGGATGAAAGCGTTTCTTAGTATTTAGGTACTAAAGTAGTTATACCTACATAAAGAGTGTGGTATGATTAGTACCTATTTATCTAGGTAAACTAGGTAGCAAGGATAAAACTCGAAAACCGCAAAAAATGAGTTTAGAAGTTACTTCGAAGTAAATTTATCTGCTTTATAAAGTAATTTATGTATGATTATGGGTATTATAATTCTTAGGTACATACATTAAAATTTCTTCCTGGTTCGTCTTCGACCAACTGGCGAGCAATGTCTTTGCAATTTTCTGTACCAGCTGGCATGAATGCGTCGCATTCCCATAAGCGGTCCGCACTGTGGGCATATAATGGGCCAGGCGTTGCATGTGTCACTCTCATGGTCGTCACAAACCCTGCAATTACAATACTCCATATTTATTTTGCCGTGGTTACAAATGTAACGGCGGCCACTTCACTTGGCCATAGATCAGTCCATGACTTGGCTATGCTTCTTTTTAATTAATGGCGTTCCCTTGTGGATTCTGTTCGCGAGAAGTGTAAGTTACTTCTTTTTCTTCTTCTTTTATTAATGGCTTATCTGCGCATTTCGCACAATTTTGCTAATGTCAAGTGAATAAATTTATTTCTACATGTAAAATGAAATGAATGAAAGATGGCGATGATCTTATGGTGATCGACATGTAAGTTCAAGTGTAAGCTATCTTCTTCTTCTTTTTTAATGAATAGCTTATCTGCGCATTTTTCACAATTTTGCCAATGTCAAGTAAATAAATTAATTTTTACATGTAAAATGAAAATGAAATGAATTAAAGAATCAGTTTCCGTTTTTGTGTATTTGTCATATTTGACAAGAAACTATCATGTTAAGTTTATACACTTGACATAACGTCGTTTATATTTGCACAATTTGCCAAATATTAGCAATAAAACATAATAGCTTCTTGCGAATAGCAAAGAGAAGTGTCACCATAAAAAAGCAAGATAAAATTAAAACATGGTAAAAATATAATGCTGCATAGAAATGGATTTTCTATGCAGTACCTATACCAGAGATAGTGATTGAGCTGTTATAATTCTATCGTACAATTGCAGGCTTGTGGTATGTAGAAGCTGTCCACTAGGCTTAGAGCAGCTGCAGATTTAGACGCATCGGGCACGTAGTTCAATTTATTTACAGTGCAACTGACGATGGTTCTCGGATTGTTCAGACTTTTTATTTCTTTGTTTATTTTTGCGCAATTGTAAAATGTTTTACTCATAGAATAGGTTGGAATTACGTATGATTATTTACCAGCACTTTTTCCTGCATCTATCGCCTCTGCAGCTAGAGATTTAAGTCTGGTCTCTGGCAGCAAAGACCTCTCACAGTCTCCCCGTTTGACACTAGCATCTACTCCGATTGTGTCTTTGTTGATCTTCACTCCACTGAATAGTGCTGTGGCGGAACAGGCAGAATCGGGCACCATTTTGTCTGCCGAGTACGTCTAATAGACAGAGGAATTATGTTGACTTTCTAGTGATTCATTAGTAAACGTGGTAAAGGACAGAATATTTATGATAAAAATATACTTTAAAATACGACTTGTTGAGTCGAAAAAAAAACATAATTTATAGTGTTATATATAGTTAGAATCATGTTATTAAAAGCTGGCATGGTTCTATGTGCATACAATTATCGCGTATTGAGTAGTGTTTAGAAGTGTATTCTGGCACTTTTAGCTATTGCAGTTATTAAGAACTCGAAGTTTAAACAAGTGCGAGTCGGACTCGCGCACGAAATGTTACCACTATCTATAAAAAACGCAAAATATCGCATTTGTTGCATGGATTGGTATCCCCCATATTATTTTTTCTATTTTAGTATTAGCTGTTATAACGGCAACAGAAATATGTAACTAATCTATGAAAATTTCAACTGTTTAGTTATCATGATTCATGATATGCAGCCTGGTGACAGACGGACAGACAGCGAAGTCTTAATAACATTTATCCTATCTAAACAGAACCCTAAAAAACGGCTAAGTGCGATCGGAACTTCACACCGAGGATTTTTTAAATATATTTATTTAAGCGAGTAATTAACTATGTAATATTAATTAAATTTACTTTCAGTAATCCCATATGCGGGAACTGTTCATATGACAATCGGTGACTTTCTCCACCCATGTACATTCTAGTGGCGGTAACAGTATTAGGTCCCATGCCATCGCCAACAAATATTATAACGTTTTTCGCTGCATTAAGATTCCATTTTGTGTGTAGAGCTTCTTCTAATTCTTTTTTGGCTAGATCTTTCCAGAATTGGTTGTCTGTAACAAATATTTAATTATTGAATATAAATCACAGGCGAAACTAGACGTAAAGTCAAAAGGTTGCCTCTGTCTATCTCATTGCGTCTGACGATGAGATGGATCGTTACAGAGGATGATGAATTGTACGTAAAAAACTTTTTAATTAATTAAAGTCTTCAAGCTCATTCGCTTTCATAAGTATACATTTATATAATTTACAGAAAACCTCACCTCAACAGATGTGTCCTTATTTTTCATTTTTTTTAAGGTATTTGAATTAAAAACCTAAGTATTTTTAGTGGCAATAGTTTTATTTGTTGTTTAGGTACTTAGACGATACACTCATTTACATTGATGACATAGACATTAATAGATACTTAATCCTACATCGTTTATTCTTTGTTATTCTCACCTAATTACGATATAAAAACAAACTGCTGAATCAATTTTGATGAAATTTCCACAACAATTTCGGAAATATACTCTTTTAGATAAGAAAGTACGTTTAAAATCGTTATACATACAATATTTATTTTAAGCAGACTAGAGATTCTCTTTTTTGTTTTGAAGTCTGTAAAGAGAGAAGACATACTGGTCCAATATAGCAGGCGGGAAGTAAAGGCAAGGGAAGCCTATAGGGTTATTGACATATTTCTTAAAGTCGGTTGCGTCAATGACCTTAGAATTGAGACCCAATTTGAAATGGTTGTCAAGCTAGCGCTTGAAGCACTGATTCATATTATGAAACTCAACATTGTAAATAACATTTGGATTAGTCTTAATATACAATTTTGTAGGGATTTCGGAGGAAGTAAGTAATGTTACATCATAAGCTGTCTGTGTTATCTTCAAAATACACTGTGTAAACGAAAACGCTAATTACAGAAAACCCCATGTTTAATGCTGAATAAACTCAAATTAGTTTAGTTATTTTATTTCTTATTATCTCTGAAATATTACGTTGAAATTTTATTTTTTAAAAATATTTATTTAGTTGTAAACCATGGACTAATATTCGAAAATAAATTTATTTATTTTAATACAGACACGGGACAAGTAAATTTTATTAACAAGATATTTAACAGTACACAATACCAGAATTTTAAAGAAATATTAAATTTTTAATATAGGTAGGCTACCTATGCATACGTACAGCATACCTAGACTCCTGTTAAAATTGCATACGCGCCTTTTTAAGTTATAAGTACCTACATACTTACCTGTATTACGTTAACCAAAATTGAATCGTTTAATGGGTCAATTAAGTTGCTTATTACAAAATTAGGTACAAAAATGTGAAAACACGATTTTTTGTAGGTTTCTTGAATTAACGAAAAGTTCAACATTAGTTACTATTTCAAGATTTTATTATATTTAAAAGAAAAATATTAACGATAACTTTGTAACGTTAAAATCACAAAATAATAATAAATACATTACAGTTCAGAGTATAACAAAAACACTTTTTTAATGTACATATCCTTATCACGTATTTTAAACTTTAATTGTTTTATTATATAGTATTTTATAAGTTGTCTATAAAATATATTAAAGTATAATGTTTGTTCTCATTGATATTTTGTGGAATAATAAATCACAAGAAATATAAATACCGGTGCGCAGAGACCAAGACGTGGACAGGAAGAGCACGGACAATACCACAAACACCGAATTCATGATTAATACTGCCGGTAGCACTGAATGGACTGCGCAAACGCACGTGGTGAATGGGAAATATATAGGGCTGTCAACACTTTGATTAGAAAAATAGTCGATTAATTATAACTTTTATGAAAAACGTCATAAGTGAAACAGATATAGAAAGCATGCATGTTTTTAATTATAGCATATTCTTAAGTTCCACAAATGTCTAATAAAATTGTCACGAGTTTAAAGTAACATTATCAATAGTTTTTCGTTAGAGTTATAACTATCATTAAACTTTAATGGACATTTGTGTAACTGAGTGTAGGTATGATGTAGTAATTTCAGAGCCTATTCGATGCAAACAAACAAACAAATCTTTACTCTTTTAAGATTAGTACAAGATATATGGTAATAAATAAATATACTTATATTTATAATATTAATTAGGCGTCGTCTATTTGTTAAACAAAATTATTTTTGCCAGTTTTGATGCCATCCTGTCTGTAAGAAAAAGGAGTAATAGTCGATGACGAATTCTGTACTTCGTTTTCATTGGTCGATCGTTGTTTTATTGGATAATGACATAAGTGCACAGAGTCGCCCGCACTTCGCATGCTGACCCCATTGGCCATTGTAAATACGACATAATGGTGGCTTACCCTCCGCCCTCGTCGTTAATAGTTATTACGTATGAATGGAAATAAAAATTAATCAAAAAATATTTCTTCACATTTCCTTGAGATTATTAATTTTTACTTTGTGTGTTTTTGTGATCTTACGTAAGAATGGACAAACCTCTCTCTGTCCCCTTCCCTTGTAAGCAAAAAATAGGCAAAAGTCAAACCCTTCTCTGTCTAAATTATCATAAGAAATAAATGGATGGCCCCTTAATAAATCAACAATAAACAGGAATCAATATAGTTCGACATTTTAAGTATAGTCAACCGATTACCAATGTAAGACGTTTTATTAATAAAATGTTTTAGTCTTATTCTTTATGCAGAATTCTACTTGTAGTTGGACTTAATGGTTAGGGTATTATTTGCCAGTTAATCAAGGTCTAATATTTACGAAAACGAAATATTTTATTGTAGAATTTTTATAAAAATCTATGATAAAAACACGAAGAATTTGTGCGAGACAGTATTATTTGCAGATGACACCTCTTTACTGTTTAAAGTTGAGAGGGGTAATAATTGTTTTGACGATGTAAATGATGCTCTCGACAAAGTTCTACAGTGGTTTGATAATAATAATTTAAAGCTCAATTCAAATAAAACGAAATGCATAAAGTTTGCATTACCTAATGTGAGGCATGTCAGTACACTTATAAATGTAAATAGTGAAAAAGTTGAGTTAGTAGAATCGACAAAGTTCCTTGGTATTACACTAGATTCCCGACTGCAATGGGATCCTCATATTGATAGCTTGTCAAGTAGACTGAGTTCTGCAGCTTTTGCTGTTAAGAAAATTAGACTCTTGACAAATGTTGAAACGGCAAGATTGGTATATTTTAGTAAGGTATATTGTTACGGGGTTCTGCGGCTAGCATTCAGGATATTTTTATTTTACAAAAGAGAGCTGTCCGTGCTATATATAATTTACGGTCTAGGGAATCTCCCAGAGAAATTTTTAAAGAAATAAATATTCTGACTGATGCCTCTCAATATATCTATGAGAATATTATGTACCCAAGAAAACATTACGATTCCTTCACAAAAAAAAGTAGTGTTTATAATCTTAACACAAGAAATAAAGATAAACTTGCCGTTCCAAGCTTCAGACTTCAAAAAACCAGAGGATCATTTCTGGGTATATTAATGTATTGCTATGTTCAATAAAGTTCCACAAAATGTAATTGACTTACCCATAAATAAATTTCAAATTCATGTAAAGAATATTCTTATGAGTAAAGGCTATTATAAAGTTGATGATTATTTTAAGGATCGCAATGCATGGAATTTATAGCCTTCGCTTTGTTCTATAAAGACTAATTATATGTTCAACCTATGTCCTACAGACTTTGAAAGTTGTATTTACTATTGTGATAAATTGATAATACATATTATTTTGGTAATGACTTGATTTATGTTAATGTCATTACTTATGATAAAAAGCTGGTAAGTTTCTTTCGCTTGTTCTTCTTGTCAGCTAAAAGACGTACTGAACAAGTGGTAGGGGAAAAAGTTTTTTGGACGATTCAAAAGTGCTTGTAATAGTCTACTTGAATAAAGATATTTTCATTTCATTTCACGATCTATGCGAAGTGGCAACCCCGGTAAAAGAATCATCATTCACTCATCGTGGTTTCATTCATCAGACCGACGGCAACCTTGACCGAATATAACTCTAAATATTTCACGTAACGATTCTATTGTGTAAGATGGCATTATTTTTATATATACAATTCATTTTATCCATATTGTTTTGATATGACTTTAATTGAATTGCAATTGACATTAAAATTGTTATTAGTTTAATGCCACATTACCCAAACAAATTTTCATATTTAGAACATTCATTTGACCTTAAGTCATCATTAAAGATATATTATGAATTAAAAAGGGGGGTGTTAACAACATTTTTTTTGATACATATAAAATATATCTAAAAAATATTTAAATAATTATCATATAATAAGTTAAAATCTAAAAGTAATTTAATTTTCAAAATTTCCCACTAAAGCGCCACTTCTGTCATGGCGACACGGCCCTCTAAAACTAATATCGTTCTAAGTATGCATAAGGTTGAATTCTCCAAGTTCTGATATGATTAAGAGGGATGTGACGTCACGTGATGTTTGCGGTCACGTGGCAACGAGTATCAAATATTAATTTATTCATTATTAATAATATAATAAGCGTAAAAATGTGATTATCGGTAATAGTATATTAAACACTACCAGAAAATAAATATTTTCGTTCACTGTCTACATCCGTATTAGATTAAGAAAATGCCGCGCCCTGCTTTTCATGTAGGTACGTCATAATTTATATATCAACGAAATCATCGTAGGCCGAAGCAATAAAGTTAAAGTTAAAAAGGGACAAACGACTACCGTTTTCTCCTATATTTCTGTTGATTCGATGCAGGGCCAAATCCAGTTAGCCGTAGGTACCAAAAAAAATTCGCTGCTCTGATACCAATTACCATATATCATAAGCTTTCTATTAGAAAGATGGGATGTTAAATAATATTATTGAAATTGCATAATATTCAAAGATATGTTGTTTTAATCTTTCATGATCATTAATATAATATTGATACATATTTACAGAAACGGTATTATATACCTTATTTTATCGAGCTCCGATATTTTAGCGCTGTAACAAACGCCGTGATGACTGCCGAAATACATTATTCAGTAAAAAATAAGGTACATATATGGTAGCAATTCCTTAATAAATATTAATCTAATATTCAAACATGTGATTTTATATAACAAATTTAATGTATACATTAATTGTTATTATGTTATGTAGTTATATAAAGATTTCGTCCGATCGGCCGCTGTTAGCAGTTTTACCGGCAAATTGCCGCCTTTCCATTTTGTCGCTCTGTGCATTTTGACGATTTAACTCTTAATAGGGCCCCGTTTAGATGATAGCTGTTATCATATCAGTTATGTTATCTCTTTCTTAACTTTAATTACCTGTAATGGTATTTGTTTGAGTTCTCATTATGGACTGCATCATAACATAAAAATTTTATAATGACTCTAAATGAACGTGGCGTTGACTGGTAGAAAATGTCTTATGGCAAATTAAGTCCGCCGTATGTACATTTTTTTTAAAATACAGATTGTAGACTATAAACGAAAATAAATACATTTTTTTTCTGGTAGTTTTTAATGTATCGACAGGTATATTAGTCCGATAATTTCGGAAAATATAACGTAATATAACGTAACAAAAAATTTAAACATGGCGGCATCTTTTATTATATTAGAAAATAATAAAATAAGTTAGGAAACTACCGTATGGCAAATCAAATACAAAGGTTTATTGTGAGCCATATACAACACGTTAGATTACCACAATATGACATATTTTTGCAATAGTAGTCTAACTTTCAATAAATTAAGGTTTAAAATTGTTTGGGAAAATTTTATAGAAAAAGAAACACAATTTTGTTTTTAGTATTTATGTAATTTGTAATATTATATTAATATTAAACGTTCTGGTCCGTTTTTTTTTATCTTACGGACATTATAGGTGGATATAAAAATCTTTGCTGGAAATATCTGGTCCAAATTATATTTAAAGTGAACGTCTTTCGGACCAAAAAAATGGCAATCTAATTGTCGTATTCATTCGGTCAGTACAAATTTTTGTCTCAATTGTACTGGACTTTTTCTTTTTAGATAGTAAAAACAAAATATGCTTATGAAAATAATGCTTACTATTTTCCGTCTTTGATGATTTGAGTAATACTTGTGTATTAATAATAATAATAATAATCATAAAATACCTATTTTGATAGCTGTATCAATATAGGTATTTTATGATTATATAGCTCAATTGAAGTTGAATTTGAAAAATATAATTCAATCCTCCATTGGGAAAAATGACATTACTTTCGGCACAACCTATTATTTTTTTTACAATTATATTGCTGAATAAATTTTTCGTAACGATTTTTTCTTTGGACATTATATTGAAATCAATGTATGAGACATTGAATTCAAGGCCGAGTAACATTATCGGTTAGTTGGTTAGACTATTTGTTACTACTAACCGACCGCAGTTCTATTGCTTGTCTGATTAGTTACTGTCATTTCCAGCTTTCGTTTGTGTTGACACGAGAAGGGCGTAAACGTCACAGTATATGCTTAAACTAAGAATGATATCTCTGCAGTTTAGACTTCATACATCATTAGGCAAATTTATTTTATAAATAAATGGTCCATTAATATTTGAGATATAATGTTAACGCTCCCAACAAATCAAGTCAAGAAATTACGCCTTGCTGCGGTACCAAAAAAGTTTAGAGCATCTTTGTAATATCTTTATTTGTTCGTTTATAGTTGTAAAAACGAAAGTGGTTACGTATTATGTAAGAAATTTAATGTCATATGAATATTTTAGCAAATTTTAGTAATATTTTTTTCTTATTATTATATTTGATCAATGCTATACTGAAAAATGCTTAAAAAATCCAAAATCTAACCTAACCCAAACACCCGAAAGAAATATTTTTACAAATATTTAAACTAATTTTTTTCCGGCTGTTTAGATGGATTGCCTGCACATTGATCAATACAGCTCTGTAGTAGCAAAAAAAGGAAAAGTGTTTGAAAAATTCGTCAGTCCTGTTAGGTCCTGGGTAGCTCAGTGGTTAGAGCAGTCGCCTGCTCTGGTGCCTTCAACTTTTCCTTGTACTACCAGACATTTCATGGGGTCGTCGCTGCGTCATGATACATGGCCAAAGACAATGCATGTTGTTGCCGATCACAATGTTGTCTGGTCAATGCATCTTTAACAAAACTCTAACAAATATTAACTATATTGAACTAGAATTATGGCTTTTACTAGGTCAACGTCGTAATGACTGACCTCACTCTACCCAATGGTGTTTGCTGTGATATTTTGATAAACGAAGAACTTTTTTAGTAGGAAGAAAGTAATTTTTAGTGACATATTTTGAAGATTTTACTTGAATTCACAATTTAGATTTGAAAGGTCGAATGAGTAATTTAGTGCTAAGTACCTAAGTTATAACTTGTAATCCCCGCATATTGCTAATGCAACTGGCCGCCATTTTGATGACGCAATGGCGTTTAAAAATCAGTACCGTTAACAAAAAAACACTGGTTAACGAGTACAATTATTGAGTTATATAGGTTGTGTTGAGATCACAGATCATTTTTGTTATGTTTTTATTGGTTTCGATTGTTATTCTTAACTTTTGGTGTTACTAAAATAACAACTATATTTTCCATAAAAGTCAGTATTTACATAGACATTGAATATTTTCCAAAAAAATATGCAATAAATCAACAAACTGAAAGTTATAAATTATTATATTAATATTTTGGCGATTATCCATAAATAATTAAATCATTTATAAATAAATTATCTCTTGCCTTTTGTGCTGTCTATACTTTCAATTTTGATATGATATCATACGAATGTTATTTAGACAAGGTTCCAGGGCATTAGAAATTTACAGAACTTATACCTATCTGTTTTCTGTTAAATTCAGTTTTTCTGTCATATAGTCTTAAAAGCATCGGATTAATGACCTTCTGTTCTTTAATATGGTGCGATGTTTCAGGCACACACACTTGCTTACCCGGCGCCCTAGCTGATATTGATCGCTACAGACTCCATTGCGCAGGGTCGCTGCAACCCAACTTAAGGCGAATAACTTGTCAATATATATTTATTTATATACTGTCCCTAGGGCGAAAAGGTGGACAATAACTCAATTTATTATGTGTACAAAGCAAACTATACGTATACATCCTCCGCATAGTATAACATTTTGTTGTAACACCCCCCCCCCCCCTTTCCACACAATAGGTAATAATTTTGCTTCCTTGTCCGTTTTATCATCTGCCCTAGAAAGTGTCAATATAGTGGTTTCATTAACGCCTAATTATGGGATGTCAGTATGTTTTTGAGAACGCAAAATTAAGAAAATTTTCATAGCATCGAAACCGGTAAACGACTTGCCATTAGAACGAAATTCAATAAAAGATAAAATTATTAGTTCGTATATATTTCTCATGTAATAAATTTCATAACGTCAATAAAGAAAGATTTAAAGTTGGAGCTTCCATTGGCTATTTCATGTCGATGTTCGAAAATATGACATGCGATTTAATGTTCAAGTTTGAATGAGAAAGGTTACAAGCCGGGTTGGAACCTTTTTAAGAAACTTGTTTGGTCATTATTGTATATTGTTAAGCCCATATTATTTATTAATTAGCAAACGCATGCGAAGAGATGTTCGTCTGCGCCTTAACGAAATTCGGAGACTTCAATCAAAGTTAGCCTTACAGGCTGAAGTTGCTCCTTACAATGCGATTGTGAAAAGACTTTGTATTAAAATGATTTTGTGCAAATAGCGCAAGTGTGAGTGTGGTACGAACTGCCGAAAGGCAACTGTGTTGTGAATTGATCAATTATCTAGAAGATGGTATGTATCTTTAAATAAAAAAAAAAGATTTTGTTCGAATGAAATTAAATACACCTCTAATTGAAAAAAAAAACCATTTCTTTAATTAGATAGAAAACCAATTTTCGAATTAAGAACATTAATTCGCGCCTAAAGATAGTTTGTGAAACTAGGTAAAAGTCTTAAATTTATGGATATATGGCGTTAGTTATACCTAGATGTTCTATAATAATAATATTTTTTTTTTTAAAAAGAACACTTTGAAAACTTTCATTCATATTTGCTAGTTAAAATTGGAATTCGTGTGTTTATTTTTTCTGAAATTGGCGGCAATTCAAATAGATACTCTATGTTATCTCTTATGCATGATTTCTTAATGTGGCCTCACTCAGTAATATACATATATAGAAAATGTGGTTTACAAGTGACCTGTTTTATTTATCATTTGTGTGAGAGAGTTTTAAGTATCTTTTAATGTCGTAAAATATGTCGCTAACGACAGATGATTCCAGCCATTTAAAAATTAAAATACATTATATCGTGGACTGTTTCGTTGTCTGTACTGTTCTAACTTATGTATTTAAGACAACATAGATCAGGATAGGGCATTATGAAGTTAACAATATAACGAAAATAGGTTTTCGTAGTATAGCCTCTGATCAGCGACGTCAAGTTACGATATTAGATACTAATACTAAATGAGCGGTCTACTTTCAAATACGTCTAATTTTTTTTGTGAAATATTTGAAATTTGTTGTCGTTTACAAAGGAAATGCATAGGACCACTTAAAAGTCTAACTTAGTTTCCTAATAAAATGTTGTTGAGTGTTTTAAAAGAAAACTTCTCGATAAACACCGTCGGTCGCAAATATTGAAGTCACAAAATGTAAAAAAAGTCGCCCACATAGGGCAAGCGCACGCCCCACCCATAATCCTGACCTAAAGCTAAATATAGAAAGTAACTAAAATAAATATTATTTAATATATATTAAATAAAATAAAAAAAATCCCTAGTATTTTTCTGAATTCTCGCAGGTTATCGTTGAACTAAGGTTATAATTAAATAGCACTTGAAATTGTATCTATTATTTATCGAGTTTCTCTACCCACCCCTAAGTAAATGGTACCCCCCTGCCAATAAATGATTTGATAGATATATTTGACATTACCACAGATGAACAGTATTGGTACAGTATATCGAATTAAAAAAAAACGCGATAACATTGATTCCTTTTTAATCTACCAAAAATTAACAACCAAAAATATTTGTATTAATCATTACTTTATGTAGATCTGTTTCAAGGTGTTGTCATATGCTTAAAGAAGATTTCGATTCGCTGTCAGGTCAATACAGATTTTTTTTTTATATATTGTCTTGGGTCTGGTCTACTAGTCGAGACAAGTAATAATTAAAGTCATTGACTTAAGAACATGTTATAATTTAAGTTAATATGTTTTAATAAATAAGCAAGAATCTGAATGAAGTAAGAACTCCCAAAAAATAAGAATATTATTATTATTAGCTATTGTTAATTTTTACTTCATTTGAATTCTCGTCTATTCCTTAAAATATTTATGACTTTCTCGACTGACACACACAAACACAAGTGTGATTAGTGTCGTCGTAGGTTTCATATTTCCAAAATAAACCGTAAATGTAATCCTTTTCAAAAGTACAGCGAAGGTGATTGCGATTTTTGGATTTTGGTAACGTTTAAGCCTTGATAGCTTTCGTAAAAAATGATGATTTGAATAATCAAGATATTAAAAACTTAAATATTTACCTACGTCTAACGATTGCCTTAGACAATTCCAATTAACCTTACATTAACGACATTCTCGTTAATTGGAATTAACCCAACGAAAATATCGTTAATATAAGGTTAATTGGAATGTTTAATGAACGATATCGTAATTTAACATTCTTCAAAAAACGTCGCGATCTGAACCGCTGTCATAGCTATGTCAAATAGCGTGAAGCGTTGTAGCGTCAAGCTCGTAAATATCTTTGAAATATCAAATTAAAAGAGATTGCAATCGAAATAAGTCGATTAGGCCATGGGGATCCGAGCATTGTATATATAAATATTAGACAACATCGCATATATTGCTCATATTCCAAGATAACTATTATGGAGTATCTCAGAAAACGAAGGTAACACAAAACCATGTATATGATGTTGTCTAATATTTCTTCGTAGTGTATCTGCGTCTACGTCTTATATTTATCATGTTAGTATTAAAATATTCAAGTAATGATTTTCAGTAAGGTTGGCTTACAAACAATCTATATTTTACTCAATTACAGGCAAGGATGGAGCTTCCAGTTTTGGATAAATTTTGCTTCATATTCGACTTGAAGACTGGATGTATTACAATGGGCATATTGAATTCCGTGAGTGTATCGCCGTTTATAGTCTACGAGGTTGTAACAAAAATGTGCAGGAGCTAATTAAAGCTTGATATTTCAGTATGTTGAAGTAGTAACGTTATACTTAGTAGCTATAAGTCAGGTGCTGGAACTCTTGTTGGCAGCGACGAAATAAACTGAAATATCAAGCTTTAGAAAACTCTTGCATATTTTTGTCACCAGCTCTCAGTTTAGTACTTAACACCACTTAATTTGATGGTAGATTAAACGCATCGCCGAAACGCGTCGAGCCGTACGCCTCCTTGAACGTTATAGCCCCTTTATTTGAGTCGCGTCATTCCGTGTGTCGTAAAATAACAAACATTGAACGGCACCGACGAGTTTATTACATCGAATAAATTGTAGGCAACAATTCACTATGAAAGTTGAAAGGTTTTTTTAGGGTTTAAGGTAAGTCTTACAACTGTTACAAATCCATTTTTCGAATTAAATTCACAATTCGAAAATTTGCTGGTATGTTAGATGAATGATTAAACTAGGAGTTAACAGTTTTTTTTTTCAAATATATAACTTGAATTAAAAATAAACGTTTTATCGAAAATATTCCGTATTATTTAGAATTATTGAATGAATATGTTTATAATCAGATAACTAATCATATTCAGCGTAATTTTCAAGTCATCATAAACAAATACCAAACTAATAAAAACTAATACGATAGTTAATAACGGTAATACCGTAATTCACGTAAAATAAAACTTGTTTTCTCGTTTAAAAACTGTTCTTAAATGTCAAAATAAAAAATGACTCCTATCTCGACTTCGAGCTGTTTATAATTTTACTATAATAAAAATAAAAAAAACCTCGTAACGGGCACTAAAAATGTAGATAGTACAAAACAAAACTCATTTAGTTTAATTTACAAAAAACGAAGGTTCTTTAGTTGATGCATAATAGGAATGATAACTAATTGTTGCTCGTCTGTCTGTCTGGTTTATTATTGAAGTATATTAAACACGTATATTTTATTTTTACATAATTAATAAATTAAGACGATACAATGAGTTGAAATGTCGCATGATACTTATGGACATTTTCTACGGAGCGAGCCTTCGTCATCTTTAATGCATATTATCTTAGCTGTTTCTCGTTAAATTGAAGCATAAATACGTATTTTATATTATCTGCCTGACGGACTAATGAACATTTCTTTTTTTTATCCACTCATCTTCCTAATAATTCGCACGTTTACAGAATTAACTATTTAATTTTTTTTATGGCAAACGCACTTTATCTCTTCTGTAGTGATATTTTTCTCTTTTGCTACGAATGTGCTTGTCATTTGATCTTATATTATATTCTAGATATTGACATTTACCCTGGCAATAATACTGATCACGTTTGCGGTGGACATCAGAGAGGCGACCGAGTTACAAGTGAAGAGAGACGATGAGGTCACCATGTCCTCTGTGGTGTATACCATCGTGGTACTTCTCGTGGTGCTGCTTTTCATCAAGTTTGTGCTCGACCTGGTTTTTGTGTATGCAGTTTATAAGGTTAGTTTATTGAATATAAAATTTCATATACAAGGTATAATATTATTATGTATCAGGATTCACGGAGTGAATGAGTTAAGTATACTTACCAGCTTTTACTACAGGAGTAACACTGAATTCATAAACAGCTGTTTCACACAATTTTGTATGAAACAGCTGTTTATGTTTAAGTGAATTTCATAGTAAAAGTTGGTAAGTCAACTTAACTTATCCATCTCTCGAAGTTATTAAGTTTCACCTTATATGTTTTGTAATAAACTATCAACGATTCTTTTTAATTTGAATCTAGAATATAAAATGTATTTTGATGGCATTAAAAAAATCTCAACATCGTCGTCATCAGCCTTTATACGTCCTCACTGTAGGGTTACAAGCCTTCCATATAGATGGTTAAAGAGGGTGGGCCTTGATCCTCTACGCTGGCCCAATGTGGATTGTATAAATGATTGCAAATGCACCCGGGACCAACAGTTTAACGTGTCTTGCGTAGCACGGAGTGGTTCGACGTAATATTTTTTTTGGTCACTCATCCCGTTATTGCAAAAGTTGTTTAATAACAACTATCGTGGGCCACAGCGCCTATCCACCGAACTACTCACGCCACCCACGCGCTCAAAAAACTTCTGAGGGATTTGAAAAGCATGGAGACACCATAATTAAATAGAAATCTAAATATTTATAATATAATGTTGATTATTTTTGTAGCTCTGTTAAAGAAAGCGTCATAAAATGACGTCATTAAGGTCTAATCATTTAGTAAAAAAATAATCATTTTTTTTTTAAATAATGTTAGGCTAAGCTTTGCACTGGTGATTATTTGCCATCGTGACTTATTGTTTTTGCCACCAAAGTCCTGTCAATTGGATCTTCCTAGTCGCTACACTCTTGGCAGAGTGGTCGTGGTTTGTTGAGGGTTTGTACCGTGCCTCACAATACATTTGCAAACAAACGCTAAATCTCAATATAAAATGAATTAATGAAAATCCTTTATTCAGATAACCTTTTTACAAGCAGTTTTTTCCATCTTATCAATGGCATCTTTTGGCTGACAAGAAGAATCTCCGAAATAATCCAACTCTTTAGCAGAAATAACGATATTTACATCTATCATCATGAATAGATTTAGCGTTATTTATATTATATTAAAGTACTAAAACATTATTTGGCTGCATGACAATCATGATTAATTTGTATATTTCAATTTAAATAAAGTGCAAATTAGAAAAATTTTAATATCGGAGGGGAAGCCTGGTGACTCGAAAACATCAAGCCTTATTTTAGTCTTAGTTTCTGGCTCCAGTCTTCCATATGACTGTTTATTTTGGCACTTGTTGATGTAATTTTTAAGAACATTTGTGGAAGAAAATAAATTATTATTATGATTATTATAAATTATAAACTAGCTGACGCTAGCTAATGTTTGTGGGATAAAAACTATCCTATCCAAGTCAGCAAATACCCTATATGTATACCAAATTTCATCAAAATCCGTTCAGTAGTTTCGGCGTGATTGACAGACAAGCATCCAAACATCCAAACAAAGAAACTTTCACATTTATAATATTAATAGGATTATGTACACTTTATTACTTACAGGAAAAGTGTGGCATTATGAAGAAATATTGCATCTTCTGGATTGTGTTCCTGGTACTATTTATCATCGGTTTCCTCAAGAGTCTGTTTCACATGGATGCAGGTCACGTCATTGCGCAAATTCTGTTTTTAGGTAAGTTTAGGTTTGTATGAACAGTAAGTACAATTTTTTTTACTTCTCTTACTCAAAAAGTTGGTCATAATAGCGTACCAAATAGGGCTAAAATAATATTTCTCGCTCTAGGAGCTTTTTTATTTGATTTGGTGTATGTGTGTATGTGACCTTCGAGCTTACAGATGAGTAATACGCAAAATAGAAGTTCAACTTATTATGTTGCACAAAAAGAAGATATTTTAATTTTGAAAACGGAACTGGAAATGTCGATTATGCTATTAAATAAGAAAAAAAAGAATTGCCACGATTCTCTTAAACAAATTATTTTCAATTGTTGACCGCAATATATTTTTGGCATTCAACACGAAAAATAAATATGGGCCTAACAACTCATTATAACTGGGCTGCAATTTGCTTTCGTATACAAAGTGTAATAATACTGTTGGCGATTGTATGTATTACAAATTTGTATGAAACAGCTGATTATTTTTTCGTGAATTCATTGTTGCTCCCATAGTAAAAGTTGTTCAGTATGTTTAACTTATCCACTCATTTAGGAACCTACATTTTTATTCGTCATATTTTCAAAACTCGTCAATAGATTATTTGATAAGTCTCCCGTGGATCCTTTGTCCACTTCAATTTTAAATTTATTAAATAATGATTGTCTACCAAGGTGCCAATAATGTTAAAATATTTTTATGGTACAAACATTTTTGCTTAATAAGCTTGTAATTAGAAACAAAAGAAATATATTATTGTTCCAAATTTAATCATAAAGTTCTTTATCCAAATCTGCAAGGGATTTCAATAAGTTCTTAAGTATTCATGTTCTTATGAATACTTAAGAACTTTACACGACTAATCAGATATTAATACATGTAAATTTTATCGTAGTTCTGTTTCCATACAAATGTACATTTAACAATCATGTAACTAGTTACTATCTATTGTACATAAACTAGCATATTACGTTATTACAATGAGTTTTCTATGTTGTTTTGAAGACTACTTATCTATAGATGAAGTCTTAAAATCGATCAGATAACTTAGTCCTTTTATAATAAAATTATGTATTAACGATTGTACATAAACAGAATTGCGATAAATATTATCTAATGATTGGATTTAATCAATAAAAAATTTAGACAGCGAATCTCAAGTTTTATTTCGAAAGAATTTTTTCCTCATTGAGCTACTTAAGCTAATATTAATAATAAAAAGAGGAAAAGTTTGTTTGTTTGCATTAAGCTCCGAAACTATTGGACCGATTTTAAAATTCTTTCACTTACGGGAATGCGTACGAAATCAGCTTGTTCCGCAAAATCATGATGATATATATCATAATGATTGATATATATCTATTTTGGCTCCTTCGTGAAATTAAGTTGCATTGTTGGTCAGAGCAATTATTTCGGCATTTTAAATGTCAGCCTTTAAATTAACTATCAGCAAAATTGGTAAGTGGAATAGAGGTTGTTATAAATTAGTTATTTTTATTTCAGCTGAAAATTTTTACTATATCATTGTGATCCGAAGCTACCTGATTTCAATCAACGAGGATGGCGTTCTGTAAGAGTGTCCAAATTTTGTTGTTTATTGTTTATCTTAAAAGAAAGAAAACTGAGAATAAACACGTATCAAGGGCCCTATCGTCTATCTCGGAATGACTAATTGCGAACTTTTAGCAGTGTCTTAGTATTATTGATCCGTATAGTTCCATAGTATGCATAGGGTATTCCTGATGACGTCATAAACTTTAGTTAAAATCAAAGCGATGTCGATAGGCGATAGATCCTTTTATCTCTATATAATATATTTTTAGAGCGAAACGTTCATTTCTGCAAGAAAACTGGTATGCATTTCTCAGACATTAAAAATAACCCCCTTAATACAGTAACGATCTTTTTTTCTATAAAGTAATATATTCTTCGTAATTCGAAAATAAAATATAGCTTAGTAAAAAGAAATTACAATAATTTTAGCCAAACGGTGTGTTCTAGTCAGTGGTAAATAATATCCCGGATAGTATTTTCTATATTCGTATTAGCATATCGTGCAATAGTTTATTAGTAGCATAGTATATATCGGTGTTTACAAATATTATATAAAAAATATTATTATATGCTATAAAATAGTTTTGTTATCTATGTTCATAGGTGAATGATAGGCAGTGCTATTCTGTAAAAAAGAAACAGCCACGAACTCAACGTAATGTATCAAATGAGACCCTACCTTAAAAGCTCTTAAAGGTTTTATTTTATGAAATCTTTAATGCTGATTTTATTACAGAATAGCAAAGAAAGAGCATGTTAGAGTTAAAATATCATTATGGAATAATAATGTGTTTCTATATAATAAATATTTTAGTATCACTGAAGTACATTTGATGGTTTGAATTGTAAAGGACCAAAAGAATGGAGATTAAAGAGCTTTTTTACGGGTTCGAGTGAAAATTTTCTAGTTATTAGAAAATGTTTATACAGAGGGAAGGTTTCTATTAAGTGCCGCATTTATTGTTGTTAATTTTTGTCTCGCGTTTTAATTTAATATCAAATGAAATACCATCCCCAGAAAAGTTTACACTTTTGTATAGACATTTGAAGAAATTAAATAATGTATCTTACGCATCCTAGTCATTTCAGTAAAACAACTCTGTACGTGTAATAACGTATATAAGTAACACAATAAATATATTAGTAACTCAATTGACTTGCAAGTCAATTACCTTGTCAATATGCCGTTTAAATATAACATTACGGTTCGTGATATCATAGCGAATGGTTGTGTGTGTTCATTGTGTTTTAATAGAATGTCACCTAGTTGCTTAATAAGTTCATTGAAATTGTCATTAGGATAAAGCAACGTTATCGATACAAATTTCAAATTAAAGACGTCCATTAGAGCTTAAAGCCTTCATTAAACCTCAATGGATCTTTGCGCAACTGATCGTCAGTTGCGTTGGTTAAATGTTAGATACCCAGATGTATAATCGTTTAAAATAATGCACGTTAGTTTCAAGCGACATTAACGAACACATATTAGAGCTTAGAGTGGTAATTAAGTTTAATGGACGTTCGTATAACTGGGTATAACGTGTAGAAAATAAAACATTTTTTAAACAAGAAAACAGACACAATATACATATGTCCTCTAAAAAAATATTCCGATTTTACTTACATCCAACTGCAGAAATATTTTAAAGTTAATTATGATACAAATAAATGTGTAATAAAATACATATGATACAGATTTCATAGTAGTTTACTGTTTCTAAGATATGGTTTTGATAATATGTGACTTAAAAATCGAATACAATTTTTATAAAGAAAAGAGAACATCGTTAATAAGAGCGTCTTGTCTTATTGTTTAGAAATAAAGGAAGTATACAGCATATTTTGTATGCAAGTAATGTGTAATCTATCTGTTTTCTTGTTTAGTCTACAACCACAGCAATGGTGATCACCTATCGTAATGTTATTGTTACAAAGTTGTATAAAAGTTTCAAACGGTAACTAACTTTAATAGAACTGTATCATGTATTGCCTGAATTCTGGTTGTGAAATTATTTTGCTTTGTTGTCTGCCAAAGCAAGTGCTACTTTGGCTTCTTGATCATTTGTATAAATGTATAAATACAATTGAAAATAAATATAGTTGTTGCTGTTATATAATTTGACGTTAAATTAGGAATTTG